CGTGTAATTTTCACAACTCGTGAAGGGACAGAGAATAGCAAAGGATTTAATACAACAGTTTATTAATAAAATGAAACACGCATTTTTGATCTAAAATATCATTTCCCCATTTACCGACAACTTCAGAATGTCTTTAATCAGAAATTTGCTTCTTGTAGTCCCGGTGATCATGACATTTTTCTAATTTGTTCGATCAATATATGTTCAAATAAATGCATTAGTGTAATAGTGGAAGGCTTTATAAATCTGCAACTTTCGTATGAAAATCGCAGATATAATATCGAATATCTAATCAGTATAATAATAATAACTAGAAATATATAATTGCTAGATCCATCGAAGCTAGACATTTAAAAACAACACATTCCTATTCATTTTTCAAAATGATTTTCGTTTTATTACTGATGATATTTTACTAATATTTAATTCAAATCTAATTTCTGTGTTCTTCGATGGCTCTGTCATATTTAGTTAAGAGATTCTATTAGTTGATATTACTACCGAAGAAGTGCTAATTAATTTTCTTTAAAGAAATTATTGTAAATATCACCAATTTTAAAAATACAATCCACTTGTGAGTAAATTACACGTATCTATTCTTAAGAATTCTTTATTCAGGTAAACAAATAAATTATATATATATTATTCATCATAATTCGACAATTTTATGTCGGAAAAATATATGAATTGGAAATTTAAGAATCACTATAAAAATAAGACTTTTAAGAATTTGTCTTAAACAATATCGTTATTGTCTTTTAGGGTAACTTTAGATCTTGGAACTGAAATTTTATTGAGTTCCTCGTCAAAAAGTTCGCCATCATTTCTCTTTTGACTCGAAACTAGAGGTCTGCATTTGGAAACCCGGCTAGACCAGACCGCCTGGCCCGGCCGGACGTAATAATATGACAACTCGAACTCGACCATGTATAATTCATTTATGCTATTTGGCGATGTGAAATTTTAATAATTCAATAAATATTATTTATTTTACAAATACCAAAAAGAGTATATATAAATATGGGAGGTTT